AATATATCTATGGTATTTTCAAGATAATAAGGAAAGACAAAAAGGAGCTATGATAACAGCGCCTGAAATTAAACAAAATAATATTCAAGCCTTTAAAAATTATGAAACATTTCTTGATAAATACTCAGGTTTATATAACCTGGACACGTTAGTACAGAAGATTTACTTGTGATGTCACTGTGATGTCATAAACATGTTAAAATTGATGTACAATGTATTTGACTTTAATTGCCATTTTTATACATAGTTGTTTGACCAGAAAAATATGAATCAAGCCCGAACCCAAAAAGATATTTACAAACATTATTAACGCTAAGGGAGACAACTTACACCAGATTTGACATTATTATCACATGTGATCATTATCCTGGCTTTCCTTGGTTCTTTCCTACAATGGGTACGATATTGCTGTCCATCTAAATATTCTAATATTAACCTGTCAGCTGAAATAAAAGATATGATTGGCTTTTTATTCACAGTGATTATCGTAACTTTCAGAATTTCAGAATGTAGAATATTTTGCTTACCTTATACCAGACTTTTTCATAGTATTGAAAATAAAACTACAGTTATCTGCGCTTACTTTAAAATACATATAAAATACTATTATCGGTCAGACATCTTGATATCGTATCTTAACTTACTACATGTAGTTCGCTATCAGTAACTGCAAGAACTCTTTTTTTATTTGTTTTGTGCTTCGTAACAATCTGACGAGTCAAGCCCTTGCCAATTGATTTTTACAGTTTGTTCATATTGTGTTGATACACCAGTTTCTCAGGTTAGGAATAGGACTGAGCACACACAAACATATTTATTCCCGATATATTCTTTTCGTGCCTGTCCCAAACAGGAGCGTCCAATCCAGTGGTTGTTGATGATTGTTAATTGTCACATAGTTTCTGTTTATTGTTGTAGTATAAGTCAGGCCATTGTTTTTTTTCTTTTGAATTGTTTTCACGTGTTGTTATCCTTGGGCCTGTTATAGCTTTCTATATGGTAACGGTTTTCCCATTGTCGCAGGCTGTACAGTGCCCTGTATTTCTTCATATTTTAGCCCTTTAGTCTTTAGGGATCTCATTCACAATCATACCATACATCTCATATTTTTATATTTATTAATTAAAATAGTTAATTAACTATTTAATCTACCTGCTAGTTAATCAATGTTTCCATATTTTTTCAAATGAACAGTGCTGGTAATGTGAGTTCTCCCCTTAGGGATTCAGATCAGAGATGAAGCAGGGTAACAAGCCACATATAAAACTGCATTCCAGCTAAGCTCCCCTTGATATATTTTATTGGTCAAATAGGGTAATCATTTGCTCAAATGGGGTAATCATTTGCTTACAAGTATAGGTCAAAAAGACCGTTCTGTAATCAGTAATCTGTATTCGAATTTTTGCCAATCAAGGCACACCTCCAATCATTCGGGAGACAATGTCAATCCACAATATCATTAATATGTTTATAAACCATCTCCAAATGATATATACAGAAATGTGTCCACCACCATGAGGATAAATACAGCCACAAAAATATTTAAAATGATAAAATCGATCAGCAGTAAAAGGACTTACAAGTTCTTTGAAAACAAGATTCTATGACCATGTGTGCCCATGCAAGCTATTGATAAAAACAAGACTTATTAGCATTCCGAAATTAGATTTTCTTCTGACCAAGTTATCAAGACTAGCTAATAAGGCATAACGTTTATTATGCGGTTCATAGAGTAACTGTTTACATAGGGGTTCTAATATGTTACAGGTGCTCTCAAAAACATTTCTGTTTACATCTATCTCCACCTAACAGAACGGTTTGATGATTATCTGTAAAAGATCAACCGATTGGGATGTTTTGTCTTTTGTTAGAATTTGACTTCCAATTCTTACAATTTTTGAAAGCAGTGGTTGTCTGACTTCTTCTAACTTTTCACATAATAAATTAAAGTATTCAATTGATTCATCTGCTAAGTTACACAATTTACAACTTGAGCTGACATATTTCTTTGTAAATGATTTTTTTTTACTTGTAGGATATAGTTCCCAGTTGCAATCTTGAGACGTACTTGAACTTTTCTTATATCTTTTAGGTTTGCACTGACCAAAATAGCCAAAGGGATGTACAGATCCAATGCTATATTTATGGTCCATATATTTTAAGGTTGAATATCATTTGGAGTCATCAATAATTTTTAATTTCCGATAAGTGTAAATATGCGACTTAACTAACTTTTTCAACTGATATTTTGAAATACGGTTATTCAATAATCGTATAAGTCCGTAATGCCATATTTTAAGCATATTTCCTTAATTTCAATAAACCAGCTATGGCTATTGTGAGATGTTATATGTAGTTTTCTTTCAGCTAGCCGCCAATCAATCGATACGCCAATGGTTCTTGTTATATTTCCAAATAGATTGACAGCTTTATCATGGATTTCAGCTTCAATAGGAAGTAGTCCAGACAAAATATAAACTGCAGAGTAATCTACATTAGTATCCAAGGACAAAATTTGTTTAATCCATTTTTTGAATTGAATAGAAATATTGTTCAGTATTTTACCTTTCGGAAATAAAATTTCCAAACCATAAGTTAAAATCGGCAATTATAGGTTCTTATTAGAGAAATTGATGTTTCACAGCCTAAACCATTTTCTCTATTGATGCCTGTACTCATTATGCTATACATTGCTCTTCGTGCTTTCTTTATGTTTTCATTTACAGCAAAGTCTGCAGAGTCTTTATCGGATGTTTTAATTTCTATATAAGAGGTGTTAGGGACAATTGTCATATTATTTCCGTTTAATTTCCAAAAACAATCCTCAATTTCAAAATATTTCCGGTAGGTTTTATACCGGGATGACTACACTTTTTGTAGATTGCAATTAATAACCTTCCCTTTTGCTGAAGTCTACAGCTATGTCAATCATGGTTTGTAAGTCTAGAGGGTTATAAGAAGAGACAAGTGCAACATCATCCGCACAGGTATTGGTCCAGCAGTTGATGTTTCCGACTCTACCGCCAAATCATGATGTACTTAGAATGATGAGCAGTGGATTAATGTAAATCTTGTATAAGTCAGCTTAATAAAGCTAATAAAGCTATAAAAACTGGGAGTTTAAGGATTTTGATCTCTCTTTCAAATTTTTTTATGAATAGTTCGAAGTTCAGTGGTGAAGAGCCCTCGGTGAAGCTTTTTTGCAGTGGATTTTGAGAATTTAGAAGTTTAGGATTTTCTTTTCCCTTTAAATTTTTTTCTATAATTTTCGAGTAAATAAATAAATATACCACTCTATATTTTTTGGCATTTTTTGTTTTTCCCTTTATTTTTGTAGACCGGAAATAAAATTCCAATTTTCAGTAAATCTGGTTTGTAACAGAATTTTCAGCAAATATCTAACAATTGTTGGCTTTATAGTAGTAGATATTCGATACCATGAATAATATTTTCTGCAGTTATACCTTAGAAGTCTTCAGCTTTATTTATATTAAGTTGTGAGACAGCCTTTTTATCTCTTCAATTGAATCGTCCTCGTGATTATATTTATCCTTGCAAATCTGGATAATATGAGTAGCTTCCTTTTCAACAGATTTTAAGTGTTTAGTGTCAAAAGTAGTATTGCTAGATATTTGGCAAGATCTCCACCATGTTTATACCAAACCTTCATTATGTTTTCTTGAGATTGGAAGAGTTCTTTCTCGACTGTCAATTCTTCAATAAAACGTGAAAGTTTTCTTCTTTGTTTTTTTATAAGGCTATAAAAAGTTCTGAGTCTTTATGTCCTGTATCTTTGATTTTCTGACATTCTTGGATTCTTTGGAGTGCAATTTCTATTCTGCATTGTTTCCTTAGTGAAGAGGTGATATTTGTCTTTTCAAGAGAGTAGGGGTTGTTAGGATCAGATTGTCGACCATTTTGTTTCCATTCATAAAATAATATTTTTTCCTAATGATGCCTGAAAAATGCTCTCTGTCATGAATTGTCATTTCTGTTTCTTTTTGGGAACAACTGTTAATGTAGCTTTAGTTATTGTTTGATTGAGAGTCACGAATGCCTAATCAAGTTCAAATGGGTTCTTTGGGTCGTCTTTTAATAAGGCAATACCATCCTCGATTCCATTTTTATGTCTTTATCAATTTAGTTCAATTTGAGTTTATGACTAAGAGAGTTATTGTGAAGTGTTTCATATTTAAGTTTAAGTAAAATTGGATAATTATCTGATACGTTTGTGATAATGTCAGCTTTTTCAATATTAAGTATACAACATCCAAATTTGTCTTGAAAGAGTATATAATCTATGGCTGAAGATGAGTGCCACTTGTACGTGTATAGGTAATTCCAATTTCTGTGGTAGACAGGTTGTGTTCAGACATAAAGTTAAGTATATTTTTTTTTCTATTAGTGTTATTTTTATATGTGAAATCAGAAATGGTGTTGTATTATCATGATTATTGGATGTTTTAATTTGTCAATACTTCATTTATAAGGAGGCAGAGAAAGGATAAACTATAGAAAAGGGAATTTGAATTTCTGAATTGACATTCATTTTGAATAGCGGTGTATTGTAGGGTTGCTGTCTTATTTATATAGTAAGATAATCCCTATATGTAGCTTATTTCTATGTTGTGATGTTACGCTATTGTTTCAGAAAAAGGGTGAAGATTTGGTACCATTAAAACGTTTAAACCCGCTGCATTTGTTTGCACCTGTCCTAAGCCAGGAATCTGATGTTCAGTAGTTGTCGTTTGTTGATGTGGTTCATAAGTGTTTCTCGTTTCTCGTTTTTTATATAGATTAGACCGTTGGTTTTTCCGTTTGAATGGTTTAACACTAGTAATTTTTTGGGGCCCTTTATAGCTTGCTGTTCGGTGTGAGCCAAGGCTCCGTGTTGTAGACCGTACCTTGACCTATAATGGTTTACTTTTATAAATTTTGACTTGGATGGAGAGTTGTCTGATTGGCACTCATACCACATCTTCTTATATCTAATTACGTACTTCCTTCTATAAGCTGGGAGTTATTGTAATAGCCAATAATCCCATGTTTAGGATATCTATCTCTAATTAGATTTTGTACAACTCCTACATTTTCCCCAAACTGTTTTTGTGGATCAGCATTCACACATATACCAATATTATAGCTGTACAGATTTTCAAAGTCTGTTGTCTCAAATCTGAAAGAATAAGATTAAAAGAAATCATAGTTGTGTGGTTATCACATGGTCCATTAACGAATACTTAATAATTATTTACAGTAAATTTGAGCCCAGTTTGAAATTTGAAGGAATTTTATAGGTCCTGGCAAATATTTAATAAATAATTGTCAAAATTTTTTTAATTTTTTTTCAAGATGAAACATTATTTACGGAAGGAAATCTCACATCTTTACTATGAAAACATTCAGATAAACATAATGAAGAAGTTATTGAAATGTTCATTAACGCTAATACGAAATTAGTTCCAAACTTGCAGGTTTTCAGTCATCGTGATCGCGCGCTCTTAAAGTCATATGAAACTTCAAATTTAAAAAAAAAAGTCGAATATGTTTTATATACTTGAATGGCTAAAAAGTAAAATCACAAAAATACTGAACTCCGAGGAAAATTAAAAAAGGAAAGTCCGCAATCAAATGGCAAAATCAAAAGTTCAAACACATCAAACGAATGGATAACAACTGTCATATTTCTGACTTGGTACAGGCATTTTCTTAAGTAGAAAATTGCGGATTGAACCTGGTTTTAAAGCTAGCTGAACCTCTCACTTGTATGACAGTCGCATCAAATTCCATTATATTGACAACGATGCGTGAACAAAATAAACAGACACAATAGGTAAAAATGTCAAAATTAGGGGTATAACAGTCAACATTGTGTTATCATCTTAATCACTATAAAAACAAACAAATGTAACGAAGAAGCACAAAATCCACCCATAAAGGATGGAAGGTTTTAAATACTGGCATAAAATCGCGCGTTTGAAATTCGCACAGGTAGACATAAAATAATTTTGTCGTTCAAAGTATGACGGGATACATAAATACAGAGTCACGTAAAATGGATATCACAAAAAAACAGACTTAACAGTGAAAGTAATATTAATAAATAAAATAATTGTGTGGTTCAAAGTATGACGGGATACATAAGTACAGAGTCACGTCAAATGTATATCACAAAAAAACAGACTTAACAGTAAAAGTAATATTAATAAATAAAATAATTTTGTCGTTCAAAGTATGACGGGATACATAAGCACAGAGTCACGTCAAATGGATATCTCAAAAAACAGACTTAACAGTAAAAGAAATATTAATAAAGACAAATAAAAGAATACTATAACACGTTATTAAGATGATAAACAACGTCAGTATGCAAAATCTATACTTCAAGACCATCGTGTATTATTTGTGAAGTTGATACGGAATATTTATCAACAAGTTCTTGGTACCTTCCGATGAACTTTTTTAGATAAAGGACGAGACGTTCTTTGACATACCCCTGGTTCATCAACTTTCTACTCAGACACTGGTGACGTTTTACAAAGTCTGAGTAGGAGCTGCAAGCTCTTGAATACCGAATAAGTTGGGAAATGTATATCCCATATGCAGGTGAAATTGGTATATTGCTACTAAGGTGGGGGAAATTGATAATTTCAAAATTAAAATCGTCTCGTTTGTCATGGATTCTGGTACTGAGATGACTGTGTATGTCAAATTCGAGGTATAAGTCTAAAAATAAGGCGGATGAAGCCATGTCTGTTGTTTCTTTAATTTCTAGTTCTGGTGGATATATTAATGGAACCCAATCAGAAAAGTTCGGATTGTTAATGGAAAGAACATTTATCAATATATCTGAAAGTGAAATTAAATAACCTGGCTTCTTTGATCTTCTTGTTTATGACAAGTGTCTGAAGGAACTCCAATTCATATGAAAATAAGAAGAGGTCGGCAAGGAGAGGCGCACAGTTCGTTCCCATAGGAATGCCGACAATTTGTTGAAAAAGTCTACCTCCAAATTCAACAAATATGTTGTCAATAAGAAACTCCAGCATACTGATCACTTGTTCCTCTATGTAGCATGTTTTACCCTTTTGTTCACTATTAACAAAATATGCCTTATGGTATCCCAAAGTAATAAATTTATAGCGTATGCTACCATTTTTACGATGAAAAGCATTGTGTATTATTTCTTTTAGACGGTTATTCAATTTCACATGGGGAATGGTGGTATACAAGGTTAAATAATCAAAAGTTTTAATAGAACTTATTTCAGAAAAAGACCGAGATTTAAAATTATCCAGAAGTTCTTTAGAGTTTTTAAGAATCCACATATGGTTAATACCACTACGCGAGTAACAGTTTCACAGTATTTCTGAAGACCCTCTTTCACTGCGGACAGAATTTTAGTCAATCTAATGGACAATTCTTTAGTGGAACATGCAGATGAGCCGGCAATGTACCGTTGTTTGTACGGAATTTTGTGAAGTTTAGGTATCCAATACAAACAAGGTAAGTCCTCCGATTTGTTGTTCAATGCAATGTTCATTGAAGCCATGAAGGACTTATGATTCGCCAAAATCTCATGCTTGTCAAATGATATGTTTTTGAATCGGGATTACCTGAGTGCTCATTTATTCGTAATTCTTTTACAAGACACTCGTAGTAATATGATTTACATATAAAGACAATATTATTTGATGCTTTGTCCGCAAGAACAACAACATACTTATCGTGAAGAGATGATAGACATTGCACAGCCTCTTTGTCTCTGAAAACGGACTTTGGTCGATCATTCACACAGTTTTTCAACTTATGAATGCGACGTTTTATCAGAGACCTGATTGTTTTGACCCATTCTGACAAAGTGTCCAGTTGAACTTCTTCTCGTTTAGCCCATGCTCTGGAGTAGTCCTCAATGGAATCCATAATTATTTTGAAGTTATGGTTCCAATTGATGTGTTGGGGTTCTCTAAACTTAGGACCATGAGAAATCACCTTTCGGAGATTTTCATGTTGAATTATGTTTAGATCCCCAGTAATAACATGACCAGAGGGGCTGTAATTGTAAGGCGAGTAGGAACAGTCACATGTCAGAGGGTTTTTTAGGTATTGTTCTAAATCAAGGTCCTGTAACGCTTGTTTATAGTTTAATATTTTTGGTGCAACGGTTTTGGTGTAACTAGGATACAATAGGAACAGACTGAGTTTGACTATATAACATGTGTATGTTAACTTTCTTGTAAAAGAAAATCCTTTATATCATCAAAATCTTCATAGATGAATTGATATTGAATTATTGTCTTCCCGTACACTGATTCGCTGATAATTTCGCGTATGCAGTGACCTTAACTTCATGACCACTCGTTAGAACTTCGGCCACCACACAGCGCAAGTGCGAGGGGAAAACCGTGATGAAAGAATGTACACAAACGTGCACTGGAAGGTAACTAGTAATAACTTACTTAAAAAGAACAAATCTAATACAACAAATCATTTAACAACTGTTTAGGAAAAGCTAAAGTAACAAATGGAACAAATGGAAACGCGTAAAAAATTACAAATATCATGGTTCTATCACTTCACTTATTTATCACGAGCTCTACGTGCTCTGTGTTAATTGTTTATCAATGTCACTATCCGGTAAACTGCGGCAACTAACTCGAAAGTTAATAAGCTTGATATCAACAATCACTGAATGAAATGTTATTTGACGATAATACGCTATAGATCCGTAATAAATATAAAAAAAAAACGTGCATACTGAACTTAGTTTAGTATATATGCATGCACTGGTTCAATAATTTCGATAACATTAAAATTTAAAGAAACTCGTTTCATATGACTTTAATCATTTATGTCTATTTATACCGTCTGTACAGGTAAATCTTGGTTTATATCAGGTTCAGTACATCTACAATTGAAGTTTTATTAGCTCGAATGCTATACAATATCTTTCATTGACACGTATCAAGAGAAATTTCAGTTTCCACATTAATCAAAGTTTGTGTACATGCAAGTGCAGTAAAAATTTGATAGACATAATTACGAATCGGTATAAGAATATTTATGGGTACAAAATAGAATACTTGAAATAAAGAATGTCAAAATATATATAACAAATTTAATGACCTGTCAAAAGATTTGTTATAGATTATCTCCCTTCGGCGTCTGTCCGTTATACACGCCGAAAGGGTTTGGGTCTTTGATTGTTAAATTGATGCTTGTATGTTATCATTGACATTTCTTCCCTGTTTTAAAACAGTTTTTTGTTAAAGTTGTTATGTTACATATATATATTTTATCTTAATTTCACAGGCACTTGTCTCTGAGAAAACACTCTACATACCTTTACAAGTTAATAAACGGTATATATGTATATTTGTCAGAGCAAGTGCGTGTGCTCAATGCTCAGAATTGTCAGACTTTTGACGGTAAATAAAAGGCATTTGAATATGATCAAAAAGATATAAAAAATTTAACTTTTAAAAATATGCTCCCATCTGAAGGCATCAAATATCTTTTTTAAAGATAGTACTTGTGTAAATTATTTTAAATTATAACCTTATTCATGTTTTTACAAGTACTAGTAAATGTTTGACACATAATATAATGTGAAAACTTTTATTTGTAAGAAAGAACATTCTACAGCTAGATCAAACCTAGTCCAAATAATTATAACATCATGAAAGGTTATTTTATTTTTTTGCTTTGACGCCTTCCTTCGACATCATAACGCCTAAGCCATTATTTTCCTCTCAACATTGAGATTTTGCCACGAATCTTCTCATACGGCTAGAAATGTTTGAATATAAACAAATTCTTACCTTTTGTGTGCTTGTTCGTGCAAGATATTTCCAGAAATATTCAAAAGTAATGGTAAAATAAGTTACATTTCGAGCCGAGATGACGATGACCTACTTCTTTTTTCAAATAGTTCCCAAGATCCTTCACTTTCGGAGAGTATAAACTAAATCTACAAAGCATTCTGTAAAATTTGCCGGACCCTCATTTCCGGAACGTTCGATTTATATTATCCGGAAATTAAGGATCTTCAGTGAATATTTCATGGCAAAATTGGGATTCAAAATTGAGAAAATATTTGCTCTCAAAGTCAAGCAGAAAACAATGGATTAAATTTTGGTGTTATTTCGTCGTAGGAAAGCGTCAAAGCAAAAAATTCAAAATGCCTTTTAAGACGTCATAAATATTTGGACTAGATCAAACCAAATTTAATTCGACTTTTGCTAATGTTAGACTAATAATAGTCAATATAAAAATAAAGTTTTTGGGTTATATCAAACATTTTTCGGAATTAACTAGTTTTGGGTTATTGGGTGTACTCATAATAAAGGCCTCCCTCTTTCTTTTCAAAACAATGAAAGAGGGACGGCCTTAACCATCGCATGAAACAAATACCTGTGGCTGACAGACCCTCGCATTTTCAGTTGCACTAGTTTGTCTTCACAAAGAGTTAATTTTATAGTGAAAACAACGTCGTTTAGGTCAAATAGTTAAGAGTAAAAAAATGTATACATACACTCTTCCAAGCAATGGTTGTAGCCTCTTGTTCATCTCAGATTGTGCCGTTTTATGGGTTTTGAATGTACATAATGGGGCCGGGTTTTGTCCGTAAACTCTTGTTGATATGTAGGTGAGAAGAATGACGAAAACAGAATTTTGAGTTTGTAGATATTTCATGCTTTCTAAAGATAAGAAGATGTGGTATGATTGCCTATGAGATAACTCTCCACAAGAGACCAAAATGACACAGAAATTAACAATTATTTATCCTGTATTGTTTTCCGGGTGCAGCATGTGACATGATGACAGGATATATTTTGGTCCCCTTCCGTTTAAGACCGGAAACCAGTGAACAACAAAAATAAAGAGCGTTGGATCCGGTTATTCAGTTTTTGGGACTTAATGTTGCGATTGGAGTCGGTGGAGGCCTATCAGAGAATAAATAAATAAATAAATAAATAACACTTATCAATTAGCTTATTTAGAGTCGGCATGGTTTACAAAATAATACATAGACTTATAACCGACAGTGGCTATTGAAGTTTTTAAAATTATTAATAAAGAAATTCTGTAAATGCGAGAGTATAAATGTGTCCTCTTTTCATTTCACAGCTACGAACTGAACACATCAAATTACTATGAGCACTCACACATGAAATTTTATTCGAATCCGTCTCATCAAGCATATTTAACCCTCTAAAGCCCAGCAGTTCAAGCGTCAAAACACAATCCTCAACAATAAACAACTCAAAAAGTTGCAGTAATAGATGTAAAACGCAAAGTAACAACATATTTAACTTAATTGAAAAAAGGAACCTGATAATATAGTCAATTGCCAAAGCATAAAAGACAAGACCTCAGAATTAAAAGCAACCGTTAACTACATCAAAGCTGTCATCATCTGTTGAACAGAATCCTGGCGCAAAGGAGGAAAAACAGGGAAAACCAGCACTAAAGACGCTATAAAATCCAGCGAAGTATTCCCAGATGACTACAACGCCTACAGAAACGACAGGGGAATTCTTTGAGGGGGAGTATTTATCCTGGTCCACAAAGACATCATATCAGTAGAACAATCTAGTCTAGTCACCAATTGTGAAATAGAATGGGTAAAAATACATCTTAAAGAAAAAAGAGCTGCTTTTTGGTTCATTCTACATGCAACACAGAATTTATAAATTCCTAGTCGAACTAGAACACAATGTTGACTGCTGTTTTTTTGACATTTTTACCTATTATGTCTGTTTGTTTTGTTCACGCATCGTTGTCAATACAATGGAATTTGATGCGACTGTCATACAAGTGAGAAGTTAAGCTAGCTATAAAACCAGGTTCAATCCGCCATTTTCTACATAAGAAAATGTCTGTACCATGTCAGGAATATGACAGTTGTTATCCATTCGATTGATGTGTTTTAGCTTTTGATTTAGGCATTTGATTAGAAACTTTCCGTTTTGAATTTTCCTCGGAGTTCAGTATTTTTGTGATTTTACTTTTTATATATAATCTAGGAATAAATATCAGTACCAAATAACTCAAGTGACAAAGAGGTACAAACTTAACTCATGGAAATAGTTGCATCCTTCCAACTCACTCAAATTCATGAATCACCACAAAGAGAAGACAACCTCCATGACATAGTATTAACTACAAACCCATCACTTGTCAAAACATCCAAAAACATATCTGGCATACCAGACCACGAAATGATAGTTACAGACAGTGACACCAAACCGTACTATCAGCGTAGCAAACCCAGGTAATGTTATATTTACTCAAAGGCAAATTGGAACAACATAAAAGAGGAGATTACTTTGACATCAACAAAAAACCCGACAGATGCAGGATCGTGGAATAAATGTACAAGAAATGTGTGACACCTTCAAGAAAGAACTTTTCTAAAGTATGGACAAACACATTTCAGATAAAGAAATCCGCTCTAAGAACAACGTACCCTAGATAAGCAACAACATAAGGAAGCTGTTCAAAAAGAAACAAAGGCTATATCAACAAACTAAACCAACTAAAAAGTGAACAAATTACAAACAGTTCCAAAACAAAGTAAAAGACAAGTCAGCAAAGCAGAATATTCTTACATCAATGATGCTATATTCAACGGCCTCGAAACAAACAACACCAAGCCGATCTGGAAGTACATCAAATCCAGGAAAACAGATAACATTAGAGTATCACCTTTAAAAAAAACAAAGGAAGCTGATCAGTGACAGTAAAGGAAAGGCTGAATTTCTAATCCAACAATTTAGAAGTATATTCACAATTGACAAATCAACATCAATACCTAAAACAACAAAATACGTCAACGAACCCATACCTGAACAACTAATAACTACGAAAGGCCTTGAAACATGTCAATCCGTCGAAAGCATCTGGACCAGACAGTACATCAAACAGAATACTAATAGAATGTGCAACAGAAACAACACTATGACTAACTTCCGTCTGTAAGAATTGACACGTCTACTTACCTTAGGTTATGTGCATAATCGCACTGATGCTCTTGGATGGCTCTGTGCTGGCTGTTAGCTTCTGCTTTAGGTATACATTATTCCAAAGAGGGGGATTCTGGGTACTTCCGGTAGATCGCCTTAAGATGGTGCGACTAAATACCTACCGGGGTACTACACTCCCCCCCCCCAATTTTATCAAGAAAGACCCCCCATATAACAAGGGGTCCCCTTCGGTATGAATACACAACTAGATGTACCCTCAGATCCCAGGCCCTTCCCTAATAAAACAATGTAACAGGATACATAACAATAGGAAATATTAAAAAACGTATTTACATTTATGTACACCCCCATCACTTCATTTGTGTAGCCAGAGCCATTACATTGGCCTGGTGGGGGTAAACCTGTCCAAGGTCCCCAAGCTAAGAGTAGCCAGGGATGACCTGTTAGGTTTCACCCACGTTCCTCCAAATGTGAATGGTAAAAAAGGCCAAACAAGAAACAGCTTACCTTTTCCATCTTATGAGGTTATATATCTCCCCACATCATCCCCTTTTAAAAATTAGATCCCTATTCCCCTTCGAAGAGGATCAACCTGCACTGCTGGCATGTCCCCTGCTTGGTTGATCCCCTAGTTCCCCTCCCTACAACTGGAAGTCATATTCAAACTGGACGGGCTGGGCTGGAAGTATCCCCTCAATGCCCTCCTTTTGAATGACTCCTTTTCCTTCCCTTTGAGGATTGTCTAAAAACCTGGGCTGTTTCAGGCAACTCATAAAACCCAAAACGTTTGGCCAATTTATGAACCAGGTCTTCATAGGTCAGGTCATGCCTTCTTTCTACCAGTAAGGCATAAAACTCGCTTGGTTTTCCGTCCAAGGACCAACACAACTGGTCCTTGCACTGACTGGGGCACCACCCGCTTACCTGAGCCAGCCGGGAAAATTTGGCATAAAAGGCCTGCCAATTTGTTTTTCCATCGTACCTGAGGGTTCTTTGTAGGATTGGAGGTCTATCCCCTGGGGGACCCCTTGGTTGGTCTTGGACTCTCTGGGTGTATGCCATCCCAACTCCCTTCTGCCGCTCAAAAGCAACTCGTTGTGAGCTTCTGTGTTTCCCTGTTCCCAGTCTTGTTGCCCCTTGTTACCCGATGCTACTGACATGCCTCGATACTGGGATTTCACTTCCCCTGTTAAAGTCCAAAAACCTTGGTGTCTCTTTTTCGGTATACCTGTTGGCTAGGCCCCCCATTTCCCTGTCGGTATCCCCAGGGTTTCTGTCCCAATGTCTTGCGCCCTCGTACCTATTATCTCTGGGTTGACTATACTGTGGCCTTTGCCTATCCCCCTGTCTATTTTCTGCAGCGGAGTTAGCCCCCTGTCCTGATAACCACCACCTTCTTCCCCGAAACCACGGTGAAGTTCCCCATATTCCTGAAAGTCTTGGCTACTCCCGAAAGGCGGGAAAGATGACCGAACTGACATCTCCTCCCTTGGTGTTATTTGCACTGGGGTCCGTAGCCCCCGACTAGACATAGCCTCTCCATCATAACCAATTGCTTCCCCAGGGGGCACATATCCTGGTTCCCCGGGACCGCTACCCCTAGTCTGTATTAAGCTCTCCATTCGCTGAACTTTTTCTCTAGGCCCACTTTCCTTTTTTGCCCTAGGATCTCTCCTTCCACAAGCCCCCTATTATCAGACAAATGACTAAAATCCATGACCTGCTGGGCGGCTGGTGTCAATCTTAAATACTGTATCTGACTCAGGTCCTCAATGTCAAGGACCCCTAGATCATCCCGTAATTCCCATATTTTGCCTGCAATTTTAGGGCCCACCCCAGGAATGGATAACAACTCCTTAAAGGTGGCCGAATTAATGTTCAACCTTGCCATGTGAATGTTGTTCGATTTGGAATGTTTTCGTGTGTGGTGTTGCGCAAGTAATTTTCAAGGATGCCAGATTTTTACACTGGTGCCTTGGAACTGTTCAATTTTACCTACCAGGTGTTGACAGTATATAATACACGGAAACTTTTCGATTGCAATTTCCCCTAGAGAACCCCTCATACAATGTGAGATCCCCAAACACAACAGCGTCGCCACTGTATAAAGAGTTCCCTGAAAGTTGAAAGTGACGAAAACAAGTTACTAAATAATTCCAACTTACTCTTTCTTCCCTTCTACAATAATAAAGTAACAGCACAAAAAAAATATATTCTGCTGATGAACTGTCAGGAGCACCAACAGGGGCAATATTGCTAATAATATCGGCTGCTAAATTCCAATACCCAGGAATTTATCAATTAATCACATGGGGTTCACACCTTTCCCTACAAGGGTCCCGCGAACGGCTAAGTGATATACCTCGATATAATAACTACTTCGTGACTAAACACAGTCACAAAGTACAAACCCAACCCTTTTGTCCCCGCAAAACTCGTAAATTGCTACCTCAAAACAACTGAGAGTAGCAAACACTGGAAATAAGGGACCTGTCAGGGTTCACCAATGTCAAAATGTCGACTGCTGTTCTGGCCCCTTCCCTTATTAATTTGGTAAAAAAAAAAAAACGACAGTTGTTTTCTATTTGTTCCGTTGGTTTATAAAGTCTAACGTTTGAATTTGTCAGTTTTTATGGACTTCCCCTTTTTGAATTTACCTTTGAGTTCGATATTTTTGTTTATACTTTTGACAAGTGACAAGCAAATAAAAAAAAACCCGCTCACATCTAAAGTCTAGAATATAGTCAGTGTCCTTTTTCATTTCCCTTTTAAAATCACAATAACTTTGCCAAGAGTAGGGCACCATTGTCCCTTTGCCCCGCGCCCCGGCT